AAATATATATATATATATATATATATATTTATTTTTTTTTTTTTTTTTTTTTTTTGCAGCTGGCCTGTATGAGGATCTGAACCCTTGACCTTGGTGTTATCAACATCATTCTCTAGCCAAGTGAGCTAACCAGCCAGCCCCAAATCACATATTTTAAGTTCTTAAATTCAGTAATGCCCCTTTGGAGATTTCCTTCTAAACCTTTCAAATGAAATTTTGTATGTTTACCCTGGGAAGACAGTTAACTCCCAATTACTTCTAAAAAGACATCCATCCCAACTTTACCATGTGGGCCATACGAGTTCCCCATATTGTACGCTGTTCCATCGGGGTCATAATGAGGATGTGCAGTTGCTCCATTCACAGCAATAAATTTGCTCCAATCTACCTGCAAATGTAAGACCACTTGAGACTTTTAAATGTTACATGGGCAGATCTCTATTTACATGTATAAATAGTAGGAATGTGTCAAATATTTTAAAAATTAGATATGAAAACTACAGTCTAAGTCCTAATTTTTTTTACCTCTGAGAAATCAAAATCATTTTTCCCACAATGAAAAAGAAACAGACCAAAAAAACCAAAAAGCAAAAATCTGCCACCACCAACAAAAAGACAAAAAGAAACCTGAACAGATTTGCCCAAGATCACAGGAAAGCTCAAAAATAAGCATGAGAATTCAAATTCAAATTCTGGTCTGAATTTTTATTTCTAATTAATGCGTTAAGTGAAGATAATATGGGTCTAGACTGCCTCTAGTCCAATACTAACTGTAGCTAGGAAGAACATGAACTTGTCAAAGTAGATCAGTTCTGTTCTGTTTCTCCTTTAACCTAGCCTTCAGATATTAGGACTAAGGAAGGATTTTAGGATTATCTTTAAAAAAAAAAAAACAAACCCAACCCCACAGTCCATTCTAATCATTCTAATAGAACAGAGGGTGAAGGTGACCTGAATCAATGGATAACTTTGTGTTTAGTGTGGTTAAGACTCTAGTTTCTTCCTCAGATACCTATTACTCTAAAAAGTATTTTGAATGAAAAGAAATTTTAGAATCTACTTTGTTCTTCTGTTTTTAACCTGTACATTACCTTTTCTGTTTTTTCCAGAGTTTCAATGTCCACTTTATTCATAAAGTTGGTCTCAGTACTAACGTAGTAATCACCCTTGTACCGCACATAGTTGACATTGGTGTTGTCGGTTATGGCTGAAAGGAAATCCTAGAGTTATTTAAGCACCATGGCTTACTTTAGCAGACCCCAAGCACACACTCAGGAAGAGAAAGCAGTTTCAACATCCTCTCACACCAAAAAAAAAAGTTCTATTTTCAAGAATTGTATTTGTTTAGATTGTCATATTTCATAATTATTTAAATAATCAACACTATCAGAGCTGGCCAATTTCTCAGTTGGTTAGAGCACAGCCTTGTAACACAAACAAGGTCAGGGTTTGGATCCCCCTACCAGCCAGCTGCCACACACACAAAAAAGAAAAATCACTATCACCTACTAATTCTGGGCATATTAAAGGCTGCTTACCAGGCAGCTCAAACTTTGACATGAAACGTTCAAAAATGTTCTTGCATGGATCTGGGAAAGCCAGTGTGCCAAATTCTGAGATCACAATTCGATCTTGAACACTGTTGGCCTTATACGTATCACTCTGTAGAAACTTGCTCCTGTATGTCACTGTGCCCTTCTCCATCTTGAACTGGTGAAGCAAAGCCATTCCATCAAACCAATGATTGTATCTGAAAACAGTAGGGAAAAAAATAGAAAAACAAAAGCACATGGTCAAAATCAGAGATGGAGTGATTGATATATCTTCATTTCAGATATAGAGGTAAGGAAATGGGATGGGTTCCCAGCACAACCTGATTAGTCAGAGAGCTTGAAATTAAGAGAGGATAGAATTTTGAGTACATCCTGGGATACAACAGGAAAGAGCAACTTACATTTTCCTGACCCTTACCCCATGATTCTCACTCTCTGTCAATAAGTTCTCATTTTAGAGGGCTAAAGAGAAACCCTACAATGGTGAATCCTAAGATAATTCTGATCTTTACCCTATGGCTAAGAGAGTAGCATGATAGGATATGGAATGCTTGACATTTACCAAATTTGAATGAATTCCTAAGCTTTTAGAAATAGTTATCTTCATATTTTAAATGTATTAAATTTACTTTTACTTTAAAATTTTTTGAATTTATCAAGATTATGCTAAAGTAAACAAGATAAATAACCTTCCTGGATAATCATTTTTGTCCATATGATTACACTAGAAATGATCTACTTAAATGATGGAACATGGAATAACTGTAAGGAAAAGTCTGTGGCTTTGCTTTTAAAAGGGTTTATCTTTTGGTCTTTTCTTTCATATGCTTGACAGATGGAATGTTTAATAACTTCAGTATGGATAAGTGAAGAGACCAGGTAATAACTCAAGTGAGGGAAGATAAGAACCTAAACTGAAGCAGCAGTGGTTAGAGAAGGAAAAATTCCAGAAACAAGTGATAGGTGACTAATAGGATGTGGCAGTGACAAAAAGAGAGGTTCCATGAGTCAGGCCCTAATGACTAGCTGGCTGATGCTCTAAGATTGAGACTATGTAAAGAGCAAGTACTGGGGAAAAGCAAACAGTTGTTTTGAACAAGAGTCTGAGTTATTTGTAGAAAAACAGAGTAGAAATGTTCCACAGTCAGGGTTGGCAAAATACAGGTCTAGAGATCAAGAGATGGGGGTGGGGGGCCGGCCCGGTGGCGCACTTTATAAGTGCGCCACTTGGGAAGCGCGGCGGCGCTCCCGCCCGAGGGTTCGGATCCCACATACAGACCGGTTCCCGCTCACTGGCTGAGCGAGGCGCGGGAGCAGCGCCGAGGGTTGCAATCCCGTTGCCGGTCCCCGGTCCGGTACGGGGGCAACACTGAGGGTTGCAATCCGTTGCTGGACACGGAAAAAGATAAAAAGACAAAAAAAAAAAAAAAAAGAGATGGGGGGGGGATGGGTGAAACATGTTTGAGAGTACGTATATACAAGTTTGCAAATGAGGTAATAACTATGCAAATGAGATACTACCATCTACTGAGAACTTACTACATATCAGATACTGTGCTAAGCACTTTGCCATATCTTTTCAAATATATATATGTATATGAAATATATATATTTCAAATATATATATTTCAAATACATATATATATGAATATATATTTTTCCCTTACATTGATCCTGTGAGGAACTATTATTCCCATTTTACAGATGTGGAAACCAAGGTTGAGAGCAACAACATGCCCACAGTCACAGGGCTGGTAAAGGACTGAACAAGGATCTGAACTCAGTGCTCACTCCAAGTCCTGGGCACTACAACATCCCACAAAGTAAGGAGAACTATAAGAAGTTATAAGGCAGGAAAGGGAATGGGGAAAGATGATGATGCAGCAAGGTGTCAGAGGAGAGGAAGAGGGCCACTTCCTCTGATCAGGAGTGTGACCCTATGTGGAGGAATGTGGTGGTGGGGAAAACAGAAGATGAATGAGTTCAATCCAATAGCTCCTCTAGCTATTATGAGGCAGGCCAGTCTATCTGTTGACAGTGAAAGGGACAGGTTTGGAGAAGACCCTGTGGGAAGCTGGGAAGACCAGTGACTGCTAGCGATGTGCTGGCAGAGCCAAGTACTCAGCCAGGGCAGGAAGTCAGCACTTTGTGACTGAGTCAGCCAGCAAGTTTATGTGGTTTGTGCCAGAAGTACTCAGCAGGCCTGGGCCATGAGCGGAGGAAAGCAAGAACGGGCTCATCTAGGACTGGAAATGGTCAGAGGAGAGGCAGCAATCAGGGCAAAGGAAGTGACGGTGGTGGTGAAAGTGTCTGTGAGTGACAGAGTGTGGAGTCTGNAGAAAAAAAAAAAAAAAAAAAAAAAAAAAAAAAAAAAAAAAAAAAAGAAAGTGATTACTGCAACAATGGAGAAACATTTTAAAACGCTATTCATGCAAAGAAGGAGCAACAGGATGGAAGGACGGGAGATCAGGGAAGGGTCAAGAACATTTGGCTGGTTCTTTAAGGAGGTTTGCCAGTTGGAGAGGGAAGGGCCAAGGTGATGGAAGAAGGAAGGACTGTGAAGGCATGTGGCATCTTGGAAGAAGAGTCAGTTAATGAGTGTGTGGGCAAAGCTGCCTGGGTCTAGTGATGATGATGGAGAAACAGGTCAGCACAAGACCTGCCAGCACTGTGATGGTTAATTCTAGGTGTTAATCGATTAGATTAAGGAATACCTAGAAACCTGGTAAAGCTATCTTTTTGGGTGTGTTCGTGAGGGTGTTTCCAGAAGAGATTAGCATGTGGGTCTGAGTGGACTGGATGGGAAAGATCCACCCACCATATGGGCAGGAAACATCCAATCTGCTGGGGGGGCTGGAGAGAACAAAAACAAAGGAAAAGGTGAATCGCTCTTTGTTGGATCTGGGATACATTCTGTTTTTCTGTCTGTGCACATCAGAACTCGAAACTCCAGCTTCTGGGTTTCAGGACTTAAACCAACAGCATCATTGGCTTCCCTGGTTCTGAGGCTTCGGACTTGGACTGAGCCATGCTACTGGCATCCAGTTTGCAAATGGCCTATTGTGGGACTCCTCAGCCTTCACAATCATGTGAGCTAATTCCCCTAATAAACCCCCTCTCATATATTTATACATATCTTATCGTTTCTGTCTCTCTGGAGAACCCTAATACAAGTACTTGGATTTCAGGCTTAAAGACCTTCAATAGAAAGTGTGTACTTTTGAAACAGGAAACTCTTAGAGCTGCATCTTAGAAAGGTCACTCTGGACACAGAGTAGACTATGGGATAGAAAAGCAGCATGCAGATTTGGAGAAACCAACAATGAGACCAGGCAATAACTCAAGTGAGGGAAGATGAGAGCCTAAACTGAAGCAGTACCAGTTAGAGAAGGACGAATTCCAGAAACAAGTCAGAGGTGATGATAGGATGTGGCCGTGACAAAGAAAGGGTCCAGAAAGTCACGCCAGTCATTCAGTCGGTGATGCTCTGAGATGAAGACTATGTGAAGAGCAAGTATTGGGGAAAAGCAAATAGTTGTTTTGAATAAGAGTCTGAGCTGTTTGGACAAGTGAAGTAAGATGAGTAACAAAAAAAATTATTTTACAAGGTGCTGTCAAGGGGATAGAAGAAGAATCAGGAGAAAGTGTTTATTTAAGTGGGAATCCGGGGAAGAGGCAGCTTTAAAAGGGGAGATTAATGAGGTTAAATGCTGTAGAAAAATCAGGCTGAGGACTGGAAAGGCCATCTGATTTAATAATTAACAAGCTGCGGTGAACTTTTTGAGAACAGATACTGTGGAGTGGTGTGATTAAGGTCAGATGGCAGGGCACTGGGAAGACCCCAGCAAGTAGGAAAACTGCAGCAGCATGGGGAGGAGAAAGCGTGTTAGCTGGAGAGGAAGGTGGGAGAGGGAATGAGGGGTTTTGAGGCTGAGAGGATCTGTAGGCTGAGATGAAGTTGGTGACAGAGAAACAGGGATACGAGAGTGGGGGAATGATGCAGCAAGGTGTCAGAGGAGAGGAAGAGGGCCACTTCCTCTGATGAGGAGTGTGACCCTATGTGGAGGAATGTGGTGGTGGGGAAGAAGGAAGCTGAAGGGGTTCAATCTAATAGCCCCTCCGAGTGTGACCCTATGTGGAGGAATGTGGTGGTGGGGAAGAAGGAAGCTGAAGGGGTTCAATCCAATAGCCCCTCCAGCTATTATGAGGCAGGCCAGTCTATCTGTTGACAGTGAAAGGGACAGGAGGTTTGGAGCAGACCCTGTGGGAAGCTGGGAAGACCAGTGACTGCTAGAGATGTGCTGGCAGAGCCAAGTACTCAGCCAGGGCAGGAAGTCAGCACTTTGTGACTGAGTCAGTCAGCAAGTTTATGTGGTTTGTGCCAGAAGTGCTCAGCAGGCCTGGGCCATGAGCGGAGGAAAGCAAGAACTGGCTTATCTAGGACTGGAAATGGTCAGAGGAGAGGCAGCAATCCCCAGGGCAAAGGAAGTGACGGTGGTGGTGAAAGTGTCTGTGAGTGACAGAGTGTGGAGTCTGGGCCAGGGAGAGGAAATCCAAAGACAGCTGAGACGCTGAGACAGTAGCGACTAGTAAGGAGAGGAGAACCTGAGGGAATGAAAAAATAGGTGTAATGGGAATGAAAGAGTGTGAAAATTGGGGTTTTGAGCACAGAGTAAGTTTCAGAGTTTAAGATTTCAGGGGTAGGGAAATTCTGTGGAGCTAGTTCCAGGTGTAGCCTCAGTATGTGGTCGTGTTGAAGTGGCACAGGGGGGACAATCATTGCAGTGGGGATGGTCCAGGAACTGGAAGGTTAGTCTATCATGATTGTGGATCCTGAAGTCCTCCCAAGACACAAGTAGATATTAAAGTGTAGAGGCTATTTACTATTCTGCCCAGATTCATGTAACTTAAAAAACTGATAAGAATGCCTCAATTAAATCACTGATTTAAAAAACTTTAACTGAAGAAAGGACTTTGGCATGTCACTACTATGACTGCATGTTGAGTAGATCTATTAATAGCAACTAACAGAGTGATCAGAGCTTCACAGACGAGTGGAGGCTATTCTTACACACAGGTGAAGGGTTACACTGCCCTTCTTAGGGTTTCTGCCCTTCCTTTTAAGTCTAATCTGGGGATCCAACCAGTAAATTGAATCTCCCTTTGACCTGAAGATATCTGTACTTTTCACCCAACAGAGGCAAGACCCTGCTTTTGCTACAAATGCTTACTGCTAGCTCTGCAAAAACTGACTTGAAGGACAAAATAGACACTTGTAAGGACCAGCTACATCACCCACTTCTGCCACAAAGATGTTTATCTTTTTTTTTTTTTTTAAAGATGACCGGTAAGGGGATCTCAACCCTTGGCTTGGTGTTGTCAGCACCACGCTCAGCCAGTGAGCAAACCGGCCATCCCTATATAGGATCCGAACCCATGGCCTTGGTGTTATTAGCACCGCACTCTACCGAGTGAGCCACGGGCCGGCCCCAAAGATGTTTATCTTAATAGAGGCCTGTGGTGAAAGCCCAGTCCCTGAGTGGCTCTGCTTTTGGTTTTAACAATGTACTAGAGCTTCTAGTTCTGCAGCAGATAAAATCCCATATGCATTTTGCAAAAGGCTGTTAACTCTGGGGGTTGAACTAGTAGTTTTCCCTTCCTTCCCTCCCCTTTCTCTCCTTCTCCTTGACTCATACTCTTCAAAATTATAACTTGTGTAAGAAAGATATGTTCAATGAGGAAAAGCACAACTACTCTAGTAGTTCACTCTCCCTCTTTTTCTTCATCTCCAAGCCTCCCCCACAACACCTACCACACAATCCCGTAACCTCCTCCCTACCCCACTCCCATTATAGCTTCTAAAGTAATTTCTTAAGGGCTTCTTGCATCAGCTGGGAAAAACAAAATTAAAGAAAAAAAAAAAAAACACTGCATTTTATTTCCTTCCAGCACGATCATTTTGTAAGTCTATTGCTTGGTGAAGACAAGACACAACAACTTCTGCAAATTAAAATATCTGGAATATTAAGAAATACATATCTTAATTGAAGATATCTTGAAATGCCCCTAGTTCTTCTTCTGTATCCAACAACTTCTGGAGAGGCAAGGTGGGACCATGATCAGATTTCAACCAAGCCCACGGGGATGATATAGCTAACAAAATAGAATGGTGGTTTCCAGGGGCTGAGGGAAAGGAAGAATGGGGAATTACTGTTTAACCGGCACAGAATTTCAGTTTTGCAAGATGAAATGAGTTCTGTGAATGGGTGGTAGCAATGTGAATGTACTTAATGCCATTGAATTCTACACTTAAAAATGGTTAAGGGCTTGCTTGGTTAGAGCATAGTGCTGATTACTACCAAGGTCAGTGCCATCTGCCCCCCCAAAAAACAAAAACAACAACAAAAGAATGGTTAAGATAGTAAATTCTATGTTGCATATATTTTACTGTAATTTTTTTTTAAAGGCAATGATTCCTGGAATGTCATTCTGCCAATAAAGATAATGGTCATTCAGACTTTTTAGTAACACAGATAAAAAGGCTTATGATAGTGTGAAGTTTTTTTAAAGCAAGGCAAAATTTTTCTAATATTTAGAAATGTTAAAAACAAAGCAGAGTCCTTCCTGGCCATAAGGATTTCTTCACATCACTTCATGTCCCTAGTAGACACACAGAGAAATGAAATACTAAAGAGTTATTGTTTTTTTTCATTTATTCACATCTATTTATTGAGTGTTATCTAGGTGCAGGTCACTGTTCTATATAGTGGGGATACAGGGTAAACTAGAGAAACTTGCCGTCATGGAACTTACATTCCAGGGGGGGAACGCAGCTAACACAAAAATAAACAAAAAAATACTAGACATTTATATTGCTGTGTAGAGAATTAAAATAGGTAATATAATGAATACTTGTGTTTTAGACTGGGAGATCAGGAAAGGCTCAAAAGATGTGAGATCTGAGTTCATATCTTGCTTTGTTTTGTTTTGTTTTTTGAGTTGGTATCTGAATGACAAGAATCAGACTTGGAAAGATTAGGCAATTTAGGTGAGAGAGCTAATGCCAAGATGCTGAGCAAAAATAATGTGCCTAGTTTGAGGAACTGAAACAGGCCATTGTGTCTGGCGAGTACTGGGTGAGGAAGAGAATGGTATAAGACATTGCCCTTCCCTCAGGAATTCGTGGTGAAACAGCTCAGGAGTCACAAAGATAGTTTCTGACACCTCTCCTCTTTTGGCATAAACCTACAGAGGGCTTCAAATTAACAATATTCCGCAAAGCAGAAAAAGCAGGACTTTCAAAAAAGAATTAAGTTTCCTTTTTTCTCCTTTAAGCTACAATTTCCTTATCTGTAATCAAAAAGATTGAATGGCAATGTTAGCTTCAGAGAGAAGAGGCAGATATGAATGCATATTCCACAGAACCAGCCCACGCCAAGAAATCCAAATTGTTCTCCAAAATCAAGGCTTACTTATCTTTCCCAAACTCAAATTTTCCAGGCCCAATTCGAAGCAGGTAGCCATTGAGCCACTTTGGAAAATGTCCTCGGACTCGGGCAGAGATGATCTGTGGTGTCTCTTCCACTGTGGTCAGGAGTGGTGCAATACAAGGCAGACCCTGCCGCTGCCCCGAGATGGCTTTTTTCTGATGAATATTTCTCACGTACTTCTTTAAAACTGTGAAGAGGAAACCAAAAGCATAAATTTTTTTTTTTTACCAGATTTTCTATAAACATGCCTGATTATCAAAGACAATAATCTTATTGCCAACTTGAGAGAAATGTGAACCTAACACCAAATATAGTCTCCAAATTCCTTTCTCTGCTTCCTCATTCTCAGGCTACCAACACTTTGGTTCTCCATTTCCGAACCACAGCAATCCTTCTTGTATGTCTTGCAGTACTAATCTGCCTAAGAATTAACTCAGGACTTTAATTACTATTTTTATCATTTCTCATAGTGAAACAATGCTTGTCTTTTTATAAGAATAAATCTACATGCTAACCCCAGATTTCTAACAGCAACCTCATTGTTATGATAAAAAATGACCACCATTCATTATCATAATTACATTGACCCTAGTACTTTAGATACACCAGAATGTGATCCCAAAAATTTCTTAGTGATTTCTGTGAATTTAATAGGATCTTAAATGTAATTTATTCTATTTTAATAGCATATACATGAATGAACATGGCATTTCCTAGAAGGGTGTTATAAATTACATTTTGCAGTAATACCAAGTCTGAAATTACCTGAAGTCCAAAAGCCATAAGTAAAAAATAAATAAAAATAATTTTAAAAAGAAAAAAACAAAACAAGAAAATCCACAAGAAGTAAAAATCATTATTGTATAATTAGGAACTAAAACTGTTTCATACTTACTTAGTGTTCACAAGGCAGTACTGTCTTAATGCAGAGGTATGGTCAAATATATAATTAATCAGGTGTTATAAAATACAGTACTTTATTTTCTTTCATAAAAGTTTAACAGTGATATAGACGTCTAGACTAGAAAAGTGAACTAAGACATATGGACACTATTCCTCTAAAGACATACGATTTGCATTTTTAAGCAAGTTATAGTATTATATCTATTATCCCATTTCTTTTAAATCTTTCAAAAATTCAGTATGTAGCACAAGACCTTCTATTTTTCCTGTATGACATGTAACAATTCAGTCAAACCCAACTATTTCCTGATTTCTCAAATAAAATTCACTTTCACCCTGAATGTCCTTCTCAATACCTATTCCTAAGATATTGTTCAAGGGCAATCTCAAACATTACTTTCTTTAAGAGTCAGCATAGTATAATATTTAAGAATGTGGGCTGGGGCTCGGCTTGGTTCCAGACTGCTTGGGTTCAAATCTTGGCAGAACCACTTCCCAAATAAGCAGCCTTTTTTTTTTCCTTCATTGCATTCATTGCCCAGATTTTTATTGCCCCTGTGTGCCTGTGCTGGGAGCTGCCCTCATGAAACTTAGCTGTCTAGAGCTGGCCTTTGTAATGCCCCTAGTGCCTAGTCCAGTGCTTGCTTCGTGCTGGGCATGTTGGAAGGGGACTTAGGTTTATTCCTTATCTTCTCAGTTAGGGCTCTGATTAGTTTCCTATTATGGCTGTTATTACCACAAACTTAGTAGCTTAAAACACCACAAATGATTATCTGACAGGTTTTTTTTTTTTTTCTTTTTTCTGTTATCTGACAGTTCTGTAGTTCATAAATTCTTTTTTTTTTTTTTTTTTTTTTTTTTTCTGACAGTTTTTTTGTTCAAAAATTTTTTTTTTTTTTTTTTTTTTTTTTTTTTTGTAGTTCATAAATTCAAAGTAATTGTTACTGGGCTAAAATCTTCTCCATTTCCTTATCTTTTCCATCTTCTGGAGTCTGCCTGAATTCCTTGGCTCGTGGCCCCTTCCTCTCCACAGCTAGCAGCACAGCATCTCTCTGACCCTGCTTCCACCCTCATCACATCTTTTTCTCACTGTCTGAATCCCCAAATGAGCAGCCTTGACCAAGACACTTCTAACCTCTTCATGCTGTTTCCTCCTTTTTTTTTTCTTTTTTGGCAGCTTGTCAGTATAGTGTTTCCTCCTTTCTAAGGTGGGCATAATAATAATTCTTATCATTCCAGTTAGAGTGAACAGGACTAAAGTACCCCCTCAAGATGGAGGAAGTAGAAGGGAGGAATTGTACCAGCAGAACCCCCTATATTTGATCAAATTTGATCCTTTTCCCCTAGGGCTGAAGCAGTCCTCAGCACTGGAGTAAGTTAACAAGGCAAACTTGCTGGCCAAGTCCCCAGAAATAGGAGTATGCTTGTCTGGCAGAATATAAGATAAGCATAAAGGCTAGCATGCATTTGTCTGAGTTCCATCTTTTCCTATGGTTACTCGATATTTTGAACCTTGGTTATGGGATGGGATGACATTATTTACGTAAATGTAAAAAGGTCTTCCAGATAGCCTGGAGCTTCAAACTTGCTATGAGCACTTACTGTTTAGACCCTGAGAAACCAAGGAAGACAGACATCAATAAAGCTGTGCTGATTCCACCCCAAAGCAAATCAAAATCCTTCAGGACTCTTAGATAACATCAAGGATCAGAACAGAAACTAGATGGAGCCTTGGCAAGAATTTGCACCTGGCCCCTTACAGGTCCCCTCCCTCCTGCTTTTCGCTTCCCACTTCTTACCCCATAAAAACCCTTGGTTAGTTTGAGAATATGAGATGAGTTAGCCTACCATCTTCTTCAAGTTTACCAGTCCTGAATAAAATTGCCTTCCCTTTTCACACGTTTGACTTTTGAGTCATTCGTTTCTGTTTGGCAGCAGGCAGCAAGACTTGGGTTCAGTAACACTCCTAAGACTATAAGTAATAAATAGCTGTTTATGTAAAGCTTTTGAACAGAGTAAATATTCAAAATATGCTAGCTATTATTTACACAGCTTTTAATGATTAATCTAACACAATGTAATATCTTCTTTCTTTGAATTATTTTATTCATAAAGTGCTAGGCACTGCTGAGGAATAAAAAGTATTAGAACTCTGAAATAAAGGAACTCACTGCCTAGTACAGACATACAAACAGATCATTGAAACTGTAATGAATGTTTTATTTCAGCATTGTTTCTCAACGTCTGATCTGAGGACTACTTGTAACAGAAATACCATATTATTGCCAAAATGCAGATTCCTGGACTCCACTCTGCACCTCATAAATCAGAATCTCTGGGGAGGGACAAGCAGGTATTCTTAGGCATACTAAAATTTGGGAACTACAGTATTAGAGGTATAAAGAAGACGCTTTGAAAAGATAGAAAAGGAAACCTTCAGGTATTTACCTAACTCTACTTTTATTAACATTATGCATATTTATCTTATCCTCCTCTTAGATTAAGATAAATCCCCTGAGATCAGGTATTTTACTCATCTTATTTAAGTAGAATTAAATCAAGTACCTTGATTGGGCATTTATCTGAGTAGAGATAGTACATGAATTTAAAGTATTTTACATTTTAAAAAATATTTACATGTCTATATGTTCTAATACTTCATAGCATTCTGTTAGCAGTATAGTATATGCTCTTCAAACTTTCCATAGTACTAGACATTGTTGTCTACAGCTCATTAAAACCCGTTCTAATCTTGGCTTCTGAGACATTGTACTATTCTAACTTTCCTACTCCCTCTCTGACTGCTCTCTGCTTTATGCCAGCTTCATTACTTATTAGCTAACAACCTTGGGCAAATTACTTAGTCTCTCTGAGCCTCAGTGATAAAATGGGGATAAAGGGAGGTTAATATTCCTGTTCATGTTTATCATCATAGTTAAATATGATAGTAGATACTTTCCAAATGTTAACTCCCTTTATTGACTCCTTTTCCCCTTATCATCTCGAATGTATTCCTAAAGTGTGACCTTTGACCTTTACTCTTTAATCTCATCACTCCCTTGATAATTTTATCTAGTCTCCTAATTTCACCAATTACTTTTTGAAGCTGACTTCCAACATGTCAAAACAGAATTCTTCATATTCCCCTTTCCAATTTTCCCTCCTGTTAAATCACCTAGTTTTAAGATCTGTTGGCCTTGAACTTATTTTCTCCACTGTCCCTCATATTTACTAAGTAGTTAAGTTCTGCTGACTATACCCACACAGCACCAGTAAGGAGATGCTAAGGGGATGATATAGGGTGGCCAGTATAAAGTACTAGGGCTCAAAAATCTGCAAGGATGCCTGGAGGAAATACCTTGCAAAGATCTTTCCTCCCTCCAGGGTAGGTGCCCCCCCCCATTTTTTTCCTGGCCTAAACCTGTACTCATCAGCATTGATGCCTCAGATTCTCTTGCCTATCAGTCACTTCCTTCCTACTGTCCTTATTTAGGCCCTCCCAACCTCTTAACTGGAAATTATAACAGCCTCCTAATTGGAAGGAGAAACTAGATAGAAATCGAGCTATCTTCTACACCAGAGTTCCCTAATTAGTGGGCCTCTTGATCCCCTTAGTCCTTGAGATGGCCAGAGGCCCCAGGCCAATTGCCTCCAGCTCTAAGTAGCTCATCAGGGCTCCAGACCCCATCCAATTTACCCCAATGTAAGGTAAAATATTAACATTTTCTACATGTGCTATGATGTGAAAAAGGCTAGAAAGAACTGCTACTAATTTTCTAAGTATAGATCTGATTTCATCATATGTTCTTTCATAATACCTTCACAAACGGCTCCTCACTGTCTACCAGGTAAAGTCTAAACTCCTTGGCCAGGCACTGATGAAGGCCCTGTACAGTCTCACCCCAACCTACCTGTGCAGTTCTGTCTCTCATTAATGCCTTCTACTCCAGCCTAACTGGACCACTACCTATCCTCTTCTCATCAAAATCATACCATTCTTTTTTTTTTTTTTTTTTTTAAAGATGACCAGTAAGGGGATCTTAACCCTTGAGTTGGTGTTGTCAGCACCACGCTCAGCCAGTGAGCGAACCGGCCATCCCTATGTGGGATCCGAACCCGGGGCCTTGGTGTTATCAGCACCGCACTCTACCGAGTGAGCCACGGGCCGGCCCAAAATCATACCATTCTTTTCACCTAGATTTCCCATCCCCTTCAGATGAAATTCACTTACTCAACTAATCCTTCAAGATCCAGTTTACATGTCACCTGCTTCATAATCACAGCATTCCCATTTCCTACAGCAAGAACTGATTTTCTGGGGCCAGCCCGTGGTTCACTTGGGAGAGTGTGGTGCTGATAACACCAAGGCCATGGGTTCAGATCCCTATATAGGGATGGCCAGTTAACTCACTTGGAGAGTGTGGTGCTAACACCACCAAGTCAGGGGTTAAGATCCCCTTACCAGTCATCTTTAAAAAAAAAAAGAACTGATTTCCTTTAGTCTGAACTCACACAGCATCTGTTTATAGCTCTCTTATGGCCCTTATCTTATTGTCTCAGGTGATAAAGGTGAATATACTTTATAACTTCTAAACTTCTACTACCAGTACTCCTTGAGTTTTTGTTTCCCCTCTCCCTCTAGTACCTAACACATTGCCTTGCATACTGCAAGCACTAAATTACTGAATTAAATAAAAAAATTTTTTTGGCAGCTGGCCTGTATAGGGAATTGGGGACAAGGAAAGGGGGAGGGGGAAGGGGATAGATTGGATAAGGGGCATAAAGAATAAATATCATTTGTAACAATGAATATGCAAATATAAATAAATAAATAATAAAAATCACCTGATGATGTTACTCATGCTTTATAGGCTGCATTTATTTTGTGATTAAAAGCCTCAATTAAATCTAAAAAAATTAAAACTTACAGTGCATACCAATATGATTTCTGATAGCTTTATATCAGCCAATTTCAAGAAATACAATCATGTAGCAGTAATAGCTATAATAGAAAGCTACAATAACCAGTTTTAAGGCCGTCCCCCTGAATGCAAATAGAACCACCAAATATTTACATTAGAAAGCAAGCCAGTGATTTTCAATTTAGAAAAGTCTGAAGAGTGAATATTCTTCTTATTGCAGATCCAAGAGAATCCCTAAACCCTGAATTCTGCCCCTACATGTTGTATAAAATACACAAACATGAAGGCTGTTTCTATGACAAGGAAATAGTCCTGACTCCGTTAACTTCCGGCTCTGCGGAGTAGCTGCCTCTATCTGCTCCACACAGAATGGAAAGCTTCAAAAGCCCCCAGTAATCTTCAGGAAAGAAGCACAGAATTCTACGTGCGAGCTGGTAGGAAGAAGAGGAAGAGGTATACACCCTACCTGAGAGCCGGTGCACTATCAGAGAAAGGAAACCCATATTGCTGGTAGAAAGATTGCTGACAAAACGGTGAAGGATTTGAAAAAACATTTTGTATTGAGTAGATTTCAGTGAGACGCTCACTGGCAGTTGTAAGTAACACTAAACAAAGAACACTCACAGAGCTTTCTGGGCTGTTCCGGGCTCACTGACAGAACGGGGTGGAAAAGTGGGAGGGAAGGGGCGGGCCTTCGAAACACCAGTAATCTCTCTTAATCTCATTTCCATGACAAGTTTATCAACAATCTACACATAATAAAAAGCTGTTTGAAATATTAAAATTGGACCACCAGTGGTGGTCTCCCTCCCTAAAGTTTCCTTTTGCGAATCTGTCCCCACATTACAGTTAAGTCAGTTAGTTGATCTTGATCCAAGGATTCAATTTCATTATGCCGTTCCTCTCTGAAAGATTCAGATACAGAATAAAGTCCAAATTTAGATTGTCAATAAAAGACTCTACTATCTGGCAACAATTTATCTTTCATCCTTTGTTTCTCCTTCCGTCATTTCATCCTTTCTTTTCTTTTCATTAATTTTATATTTTCTGACAATCTAGTATGAATAGCATCCAACGAAGTTATGCCCTTAAAAAACATACAACCACATACGATCTTATGAATTTAACAAATATTTTTGAGCACTAATATATCAAATACTGTGCTATAAAGTGAGAATACCAAGAAAAAGATTCAGTCCCTGCTCTTTAGCAATTTAGGTAATACACTATTCCACTCTGTGAATTTTTTTTTTTTTTTTTGGAGAAAACTGTAAAACTTTATTGTCAGATATCCAACATAAGAACAGTGTGCACTGTTTCAGCTTGTCTTCTTTTAAACCTGTGGTTCCCTTTTGCCTGCTTCTGGGATTTTAACAGGCTCTAGACTGGGTAAAATTTCCCCCACCATCAAAAAAATCTCCACATTTACCTCCACTCTTTGGCTGAGACAGTTCCTGGAGATCAGCTTTCAGTTCAGTCTCTTGAATCTCAGATGCTCCCTCATCTTCTCTCTCCTGACCAGCAGTAATATTCCAACTTTCACCTGATGGCTCCTCTTGTTGAGATTGTTCATTACTAGGCTGCTGGGCAACCGCAGGCCCAATCAGCTGAGGAGACCCTTGATCGCCTCGCCGTCCACTAGCTCTGAACAATCTTCCACTTCCACTCATATTTCACGCAGCAGGTTCTCAGTCGCTGAGAAAGAATGAAGACTGCAGGAACACGAACTCTCCCAGCACAGCTGTGCACGTGGTACGCCTCAACTTTTTAAACTATAATAGGATTGAAGTGACCTGCCAAATTCATCTTATTACTTATGCTTTTCTCTTTACTTCTGGATGACTAACCTTCATCCCACACCACACTGTTGCTAAGGTTTCTCAACATAATTCATTAACAGCACGCATTGATGCGCTCGATGTGTAAAAAGCCAATTCAGACAAGGTTATAGTTAGTAATTTCTGGTTTTTATTTTACTACTTTTACCACAAGAAAATAATTTTAAACCAAGAGCTTTGATTAGCCATATATAATAACTAATAGTGAAAATAATAAAATAGTAAAATTAAATAGCAATAGCACACAGTTATATTTTATTACATATTGAGAAACTGGACAAATTACCTTTAAGGTTTTAATGTTCTTTTATAATACTGACCATGAAAAACATTTTAAAACTATCACCAAAGCTATCTGTTATTTAAAGAAAATATTCTAAAGAAAAAAGAACAATATTGTAAACATTATCAAATCAACTGGGTCCTCTTTTAGAAGTTTAAGAAAGGCTAGGAAGTTTAAGGAAAGAGAAGAATCCACATAAATTTAAATACCTTACATTTTTATAAAATATGCCAAATATTTGACACTTAAAAGAGAAACTGCATTACTTCAAATTAATTTCCAGCTTGAAGCCCCTTTTAAGTCTAGAAAATAAAGTCAAGGAGTTTCCTCTTCTCTGTTTAAGATACACATTTCCTTTAACAACTAGAGAGCTTTCAGAGCATAAATATCATTTTTTTTATTACAACAATAATGGGTTTAAATTTTCATCTTATTTTAAGTAACATTTTATCTGTGCAGTGTGTTTGCAATCACTGTAAACCTCTGTCTCAGGAACTCTCGTTTTTGTATTAAAAAGTTTTCAATAGTATTGGCTTCTTTGAAGAGTCCATCTATCTCGTCAATGTAAGATGCGTCTACTGCTGCTCTCTCACTAATGGGGAAAAAAAGCTTTATGTTAACCTAAATATTCATAAAGTCTAAACACACCATCACAGTGATGTTCTTTATTATACCATATTTGTTAGCTATTTCATTTAAATGGCTTTGTGCACCAGAGAGCTTCATTAATTTACTAGTACTCTTCAGGAAAAAGTTAATTATTCTCACAAATATGTTTTACCACTCAAAGGTCTCCTGATACAGCAGAAAGTGTATCTTATATGTTATAACTCTAATATTAAATTATATACATTATTTTTACAGCCACACAAACCATTATTCAAGTAAAGTATAATGACTATCCAGTAGTTTAAAAAAGCACCTTATAAAACATGATGTGCAGCCAATAAAATATTTTAAATTCAGCCTTCAAATATACATAGATAAAATAGAAATATCTTTTTTTTTTTTTTTTTAAAGATGACCGGTAAGGGGATCTTAACCCTTGACTTGGTGTTGTCAGCACCACGCTCAGCCAGTGAGCGAACCGGCCATCCCTATATGGGATCCGAACCCGGGGCCTTGGTGTTATCAGCACCACACTCTCCCGAGTGAGCCACAGGCCAGCCCTAAAATAGAAATATATGAAATATTTATCTTAATGTCACTCTGTTATTATCAACAATTTAACCAAATGATATTTTTCTCAAAGAGGTTTTACATAAAATTTAAAATGTAAGGTTATCTAATTAGAGACCAAGATATATCCAGTCTAGCATTAGCTTTGGCAATAGCAAAACAAAGGATGTTTAGTGGAAAAGTTGAAGTCATTCCCTGAAAATAACTAGCTAATCTATTATAAAGAACTGAGGTGGAATAAAAAATTCCAAAGTTTTAATTACTGGATAGGTTTTGTAGCCGCAGAATTAAACTTCCCATTACAGAGTTTCCAGAAGGAAATTTCTATTTCTAACATAAAACGCCTAGAGAATACACTAGAAGTACTTGCCTTAAGATCTTTGCATATGTAGACAACATTAGATTAATTTCCTTGCTCATATCTGTTCAAAAAAATCACCGAGTAAGTTATGAAATATAACAAACATTCTGCATTATAAAATTGATGCACAGAAATATAAGCATTTTATACATCACCATTCAAACCTTTCTCCAGGGTTTCATCTTTATAAAACAGTACAGAACTTTCTGAGAAAGATGAATCTGATTTTCCAAGAGAGGACAGCTGTGGACTATCTGGCATTTGAGGCTAATAGCACAAAGTAAAGGAGATAGGTAAATAGTCAATAAGAGCTCCTTAGGACATACACATTCTGTTTATTTTTTAAAAAGCAAATAAAATATTTTTCAGAAAAAACAAACATGCTAGAAATTATAGTCATTTGAAATTTTATTATCAAGGAAACCTTTAGGCCCAAGAAGCACCATGCTCAACATATTAAATTTTATTTTGGTTTTAAATCCCCTGGTGAAAAAGTGTCCTGTATGTGGAATCACTAGATGTTTTCACTGCAATATAGTAAAACTATAATTTTGACAATAGCCAAATGCTTGCAAAATTTTGCAAGATAACATAATCATCAAGGGAACAAATAATGTCCCAAATGCAACAGATCAACTGGTGAGGATAGCAGTGACGGACAGGATATAGTGCTCTTCTTTAAGAAGGTCAGTTACTACAGTACCTAGGTATCTTATTTATCATAGCAAAATAATTATGTAAAGTCCTAGGTATCATAAAGGTATGCACTCATTTCTGTCTCTAGAGCACAAGCTACCAAAATGAAATTTCCCAATAGTTTCTTGGACACCTATATTTAATGAAAAAGCAGCTGGAGTCAACATAGCTTCTGTTGGCACAATGCTAGCTCTGGGAATATGAAAACACTAAACTCCATCTGTCAATAGAGCTTTCTTTTTTTTTTTTTTTTTTAAAAGATGACCGGTAAGGGGATCTCAACCCTTGGATTGGTGTTGTCAGCACCACACTCAGCCAGTGAGCAAACTGGCCATCCCTATATAGGATCCAAACCCACTGCCTTGGTGTTATCAGCACCGCACTCTACCGAGTGAGCCACGGGCTGGCCTGGATAGAGCTTTCTTAAGTGGAAGAAATTTGAAATGTAAAATAGAATAAAAGATTAAGGTTTCAGGAGCACACAGCTTACCTCTAATTCTCTTGGCCTCTTGCAATTTCTAGTATCAGGTTTTACAAGGTGACTTGCCATCATATTCTGGAGGCACAAGCTGCAAAAGTGTAAAGCAATGCCAAATTTAAGTACAAACTCCATGCTACAGCTCTCTTGAATCCTTCCCTTTTTTCCACTCACACTGCGGCTGCTAATTTAGGCTCTCAATATCTGTCACTTACCTAAACTTAATTTCTCCCTTCTCTAATTCATCCTACCAACTGTTGTTTGGGTAATTTTCAAAACTTTGATTACTGCATTCCCTTAACTCAAAAACCTTCCACTGAGTATTCCTTGTTCCAAAATAAGTTCAAATTCCATGATACAGCATCCAGGGTCACAATCACCTGGGCAATCTACCATTCCCATCATTTTCAACTATTCCTCTATATACACTCAGCCAAATTAGTCTCTTTGGCACTTCTGCCATATTTCAGGACAGGCTCAGTTAAGATTCTTTCTTCACAAAAATCTTTTTTTTTTTTTTTTGGCAGGCCAGTATGGGAAACAACTCTTGACCTTGGTGTTATAAGGCTGCACTCTAACCAACTGAGCTAACTGGCCAGCCCGATCTTCACAAAGTCTTAATGTTGAAATAGATCATATAGTTTATCTGATTCAATCTCACTTTTTACAAATGAGAAAACAGAGACAGAGATGGCTGATCAAGTTCAAACAAGTAAAACTGGGCTGGGTCAGAAACAGGATCTCCTCACTTTTCTGAGATTGTTTCTGTTGACCCTACTTTATCTTACTATACCGTCAAAGTTCACTTTTAAATTACTTTCCCATAAATTCTGAAGGTATTTTCCCTAGGAGTCTGAAAGATTAAGTTTTAAACTTAAAGAAAACTTGTAGAAACTTCGAAGAGTACAGTCTCTTCGACTTAAAGATGAGGAACCCTGTCTACTTTCAAGTTACCGATTTAATGTTTGGTTTTTTTTGTTTTTTTTTTGTTTTTAGAAACTATGCTGACCTGGGTAACTGTGATGAATGTTTGATTAGTTGTATATAATATGCATATTTAAAAGACAGAGCAACAACAAATTATAAAGATGTTTGTTTCGTCAGTTCTGTATAGTACTTACGCAGTTCTGCCAGTACCTTTACAGTATATAAGTTTAAGTGCTATAAGAGTAATAATGTAGAAAATATTACACGTGCACAGCGTCCTAACTTTGCCTTGGGAGTTGAAAAACGTTTCAGAGAAGCCAACATGTGGTTTTTCTCTCTTCCCTCTTCCTCTTTTATTCTTCCCTTTCTTTCATACCTCTTCTATCCTCTCTCAAAGAACAGAAAGTGCATATCAAATAAAACCTTTTATAATTAAGTAGTTCTGTTTCTGCGAAAACGAGTTAGTTTTCCGTCATAATTGAAGACCTCAGCCGAATCCAGGCCTTGTGGAGAGGCTGGTCCTTCTCCTGTGACAACTACATTCAAAGCCACTGACTCCAGCTATGCAAACTTAGGCGCTGGTGACTTGGTCATTTCCAAGCACTACCTGCCCTGCCTTATGCATCTGCTTTCTTCTAGTCTCCTCTTCCTTCTCAACGCCATTCTGGCCCTCAGGTCACTTCACCTACCTTTTTCTCTCTTCCCGACCTTCCCTCCCCTCTCTTTCCTACTTGTGCTTCCGCCCCACTAAGAGACCCTAAAAAGAACCTTCTATCCTCTCACTGCCTTGCTTCTCGCTCAATCACACTCGCACAGGAGCTCATCCCTCCAGCCCCACCCCAAAATCAGTCTAAAACTCAGCGTCAGAACCTTCCTCGTAGGCGAAAGCGCGACACTGAGGTGAGCGGGCGCCCGCCAGTGCGCAGACTCCACGGGCAGAGGCGGGAAGTGCGTGGCCCTCCCGACAGGCAGCGCGCGAGTCACGTGACAGGGCAGGGCTGCCGCCTGGGCCTGGCCTACGGGAAGGCGGGCTTCCACGTAACTCCCGCTCTTTCCCGTTGGCTTGAAATCTTCGTCAAATGAAAATCACTTCCCACCTTCCCAGTGTGTGTTTGGAAGAGAAAGATCTGAAACCGGTCTCTCAGGAAAGGAGCAGTTTCCGAGGCAAGACCGGGATGTGTCCCCGCAGCTTGGAATCTCAGCAAAGAAACACAAAGATACTCGTAGTACACTGCCCCCTCTTTTCAAATAAAAGTCACGTCCTATTCCAGATAACCTTTTTGCAGGAAGGGTTTAAACCAGGGATCCCCTGGCCCACAAGCGAAGCTTCTAGATCCTGAATCACAGTTCCTGCCCCTCTCTGTTTGATGCAGCCGAACTTTCAGAATCATACTTTTTTTTTTTCGTTCTTTTTTTTTTTTTATCGAGAGCTAGAGACTGAATAGAATTACACCCTTTAGAAAATTCCTTTCTGGGTGCGTCAGTCAGTTTAGTCGACCTGATTGACAGCAGCTTTCAAAACTATTTTGTAACACATATGATTCACATGCATGTGGAGACTTTGACTGTTATTTTAGAGGTAGACATCCTAAACTGATGCCCAGTTAGTGGGTGTTGAAGAAAAAAACAAACAAGTACATCACTTCATAAAGCAAAGGTCAGTAACACCTCTGCATAAACTCTAGGTACATAATTATACATCTTAGCAAACTATTTAACACTTAAATATATTATTAATGTTTTTTCCCTTTTGCTAATTTGTGTTAGTTGTCATCAAGAATTGGTAGCATTGTGTATATATATTTATTTTCTGTTTGTGAAAAAGCCAGTTGTTTTAAGTAAGTTAGTAGAAAATAGGCATTTAGCTTGTTTAATTTGACTTGCTAACATTGTGAAATATAGACCACTTACTAAATACTAGACTAGATGATTATGGTGAAGTTATTGACAGTCTTTAATGGGTCCCAATCACTCACTGTGTGAGAACTGATAGCAATCTGTGTTGAATTGTTGCCATCTGTGGTAAAATGAAGGAAAAAGCAATAATTTTTTTTTTTTTTTTAAAGATGACCGGTAAGGGGATCTTAACCCTTGACTTGGTGTTGTCAGCACCACGCTCAGCCCGTGAGCGAACCGGCCATCCCTATATGGGATCCGAACCCGGGGCCTTGGTGTTATCAGCACCGCCGCACTCTCCCGAGTGAGCCACGGGCCGGCCCAAAAGCAATACATTTTTAATAAAGAAACATATTCACTTTAAAGGACTGATCTTTATTTTGATACCATGTACTTCCTAATTTTTTTTTTTTTTTGGTACTAAAAGTGTCCTTTCAGAGTTCCAGTCAAGATGGTGGAATAGACAATTCCCAGCATCATTCTCTCCCACAAATCAACCAAATTTACAACTATAAAAATGTAACATCAGCCAAGCTGGGGCCACTGGAGCTCAGGGGAAGAAGAGGAGACACCTATGGAGTTCATGAAGGCAGGAGAAACTACGATGAGAGAAAGAAAAAGCTGCTCTGAGCATTTCGGGCTGTGGCTGCTTTAAGGCTCGAGCTGATGAGTGCATGGAGCAGGAGCCGGCAGAAGCTGCAGCTGTGCCCTTCAGATGGAGTTACTTGGAGGCAGCAGGGGAGAAGAGGACCTTGGCGGCCGCAAGGACAGCAAGACCACTAATAGGGTTCCCGTGGACCCACACAGGAGTGAGGAGCCAGAACAACTGAAAAAAGGGAGCCATTCAGAGGCCAGTGAGTCATTGCAAGGGACCAGTGCAGGGTCCATCCCATGGGAAGTGTTTGGAGCATGGGCAGTGGGTGAGATGGGAACATTGGGAGAACACTGGGACACAGCAAGGACAGCCGATCTTGGGTTGCCCCCAGTCAGCACAGGACCACTCAGAGGAGAATGGTCAGGAATGCAGAATTGCATGGGGTGTAGTTTGATGAAAAAACTCAGGCCCAGATCAGAGATTCTACAGAACGCAGATCCACTGGGTCTCTAGAGAGCCGGAAGTACCTATAAGATCAACCATTAAACTCTGAGCTGCACAAAAAGCCTTCCCTAGGGAAACAGCAACAAAGTAGCAATTTAAACAACCACACAGCTCAAGTACTGGTTCCCACAGGAAGTTCCCCTGTGTTAGAAGCAAAGGGCAAAAAATTAGTTCTGGCTCAGGCACACCACCAGCACCTTGGTGGTGTGCCTGAGAACTGGAGGCTTGGATCCGGGGACCAGACCCCACTCCCACTTCCAGGCAAACTGCGCCAGTGCCTTGGGGCCAGCCCAGAGACCCGAGGCACAGAGAAGGGGACTGGACCACCTCCCACAACCAGGGACACCATGCCAGCACCTTGGGGACTGCCTGGGGACCTGAGGCAAGGAGAAGGGGAATAGACCTCTCTCCCACAACCAGGGACACCGTGCCAGCACCTTGGGGCATGCCCAGGGACCCAGGGCATGGAGAAGGGAACCAGACCACCCTCCCACAACCAGGCACAACATGCCAGCACCTCGGAGCCCACCCAGGGACCAGGGCATGGAGAAAGGGACCGGACCTCTCTCCCACAACCAAGCACACCAAGCCAGCACATTGGGTCCCTCCCAGTGACCCGAGGCATGGAGAAGGGGACCAGACCTCTCTCCCACAACAAGGCACACCACTCCAGCACCTCGGGGCCCACCTGGGGACCCGAGGCAAGAAGGGGACCAGACCTCTCTCCCACAACCAGGCCTACTACGCCAGTGCCTCAGGGCCCACCTGGGGACCCGAGGTATGGAGAAGGGGACCAGACCACCCTCCGTCAACCAGGCACACTGTGCCAGCACCTTGGCACCCACCCAGGGACCAAGGGCATGGAGAAGGGGACGAAACCCCTCTCCCACAACCAGGCACATCAAGCGAGCTCCTTGGGTCTCACCCAGTGACCCGAGGCATGGAGAAGGGCCACTTGTGGAGGGCCACCCCTCCCACAAGCAGGCACATGGTACCAGCGCCTTGGGGCCTGCCCAGGGACCACAGGCATGGAGAAGGGGACCAAACACACTCCACAAGCAGGCATACCGCCAGTGACTAGGAGCATACCAAAAACAGTACCTCCACATGGGTGGCCCACCGCAGCCACCACAATAACCATGGCTGCCGTGAAAGGAGCTAGACACCACAACCACCACGCAGATGGTCCGCCAACCACTGGAGTGCATTCACACAAGAGTCACCAGCAGAGACAAAGAAAAGAAGAGGATGTCTCTTTCCACAAAACCCATTTCAGAGTGACAGAAGAAGCATTTGCTCTATGATAATATTGGGGGACCTGATCACATCTCTCAGCATTGGACAGATCATCTAGGCAACAAATTAACAGAGTAACCATTATTCTTTCAGAAGGAGAGAAGAAATCTAGGGCAATTAGAGAGGGGAGGGGGAGAAAATGGGGGAAATGGGAGAGATTGGACAAGGTGCATAAAGAATAATTATGATTTGTAACAATATATATGCTAGTAATATTGATTTAATTAACATATCTCAATGTTCAACCCCCAAAATATGTATAATCAATTTTGATTCAATAAATAAAATAAATTTTAAAAAATAAATAAATTTTAATTTTAATTTTAACAAAAGTTTCCTTTCATGAAAGAAAAATATAAAGATTTTTAAGTATTTTAATGTCTTTACTTAGTAAAATATAAAGTTGTCCACTTAATGTTTATCTTTTCTTCATTATCATTATTGCTGTTTATTATTCTTAATGGTATGTTAAATCCAAAAGTCTGGGAAATACTTGATCTAATTCCTCTCCCAGCCTTCACATTGTATGATATCTAAACAGGTGGGTATCCATCTGGTTCTTAAAATATTTCCAAGTAAAATTATTTCACCTGATGTATAAATGCTTTCATCAGACTAAGAGAACACCATGGACTTTTTTTTTTTATCACTTTTTTTTCTTTTTGGCAGCTGGCTGGCAAAGGGATCCAAACCCTTGACCTTGGTGTTGCAAGGCTGCACTCTAACCCACTGAGCTAACAGGCCAGTCTCTTATTTTGTTTTTAAATCTTATCCATTGTATAAGCAAAATGGGTAAGACTAAGTGAGAAGTTGTAGAGGGTTTTAATTATCTAGTGCTTTAAAATCTTTGAAGGGCTGTCATCATGATTTCATTTAATCTTCGAAAACAACTCTGTGAAGTACACAGGACACAGACATTCGGGTTGCTCTATATCAAACAAAAAAAATATTCATCTGAAAACTTAGAACTGTGTAAATTTTACATTGTATATATTTTCAGCAGGAGAAAACTCACTGGCAATGGGCCATTTAAATTAGAACTTGTTTGAGGCTCCGACTCTGATTCCTGTTTGGCCCCATTTCATGCTTTTATGTTAATTGGACAATACAGTTGGAAGATAAAAACTTGTGTTTCAAATTTAATCACATATGTATTCTTATCACACACATCTTACCATGTGAAAATTTTTTTTCTTTTGACACCAAACACTTCCAACCATCCTGCCACAGACTTCCTTTGTTATCACTGCTATGGACATGTTTTTATGACTTTATAAAATGAAAACCCTATTTTGTTTAAAAAAAACTAGCTGCTTTTGTAAACATTTTGTTTCCAAATTCTAGAACCCCTGCGTTTTCATACCATATATGTACTGGCAAAAAACAAAAACAATGCCACCTTGTATAATTACCTTGCTAGCAAAGTAATATAATTCAGTACATGTTCATGAAAAAATTGCCTAAGAAATTTTCTTTGTTATTTTCAAGGCTTTGTTATTTTTGTTATTTTGTGATTTTTGCACACTGCTCTTTAAGAATTACATTTTAAAAGACTATATTTTTCTTCCTTTTTTTAATTTTAGAGA